GCTGCACCTAAAGGTATCATCACGCAATCACAAGCAGTTGAATTAGAGTGGAGATAGGTAGGTGGCTGTTACTTGATTTAGCTAGGCTTTTTTCTACTCCTACTTCATATGTGCTGTGCTTCACACTCAGAATTACTGTTTCAGTGCAAAGGATGTGAATTTTCATAGCCTTTTTATTTATAAATTGGGAAAGAAGTAAAAATGCATTCTGGTTGGATTAACCATAAATGATAGAAGAAAACAAGCTTTAAGAAAATGCAGGTAAACCTAAAGCATGTTTTTCACACAATATTCTTTCCGATACTGATATGATGTATGTAGAAAAATATTCCAGCTTTTCAGAATGAAAACATGAAAAGACAGGCTTGCAGAAAGCCATTGACCAGTTAGTTACCTTGAAACTTCTGGATGTAAAACTTAGGTTATTGAAAAAGCTTTTTCTTTTTTTTTTTTTTTCTTTTTTTTTAATGTGGCTGATATGGCATCTTACTGGCCACATATGCATTATGCTGTGCTTTACAGGAAAAACGAGAAAGAAAAAAAAGAGGAAGATGAAAAGAGAAGTTGCAATTTGCTGCTTAACTGAAGCTAGAACATCTCTGGTTCACAGGGCAGGAGACCCGATCCAGAAATAGGTTTGACTTGACCAATTGGCCCTCCTAACCTTGTTTGCCTTCCCACAGCCACCCTGCAATGTTTGTCTCCACCCTTTAGAGACCTGAACTTCTTTTCACCGGTTTCTCACACATAAACATAACACCTACTCTGCTAGATAGGGCTGCTTTTTGCTGCCTTCCCTGATCTGATGGGGAATCTCGTTCATGTAGCTTAGTTAGGCAGAACCAGTATTTTGTGCAAATGATCTGATGGGGAATCTCGTTCATGTAGCTTAGGCAGAACCAGTATTTTGTGCAATTGCTAGGGCAAGTAATGCCTCTTGAGGTGCAAAGCAGGAAGAAAGGGGGAAGGAGTAACTTGGAAAAGAATCTTTTTTCTCTGTTGTAGTTCTAGTTGGGAGGAGAAGTTGTAAAAATACTGGAGGGAAAAAAACAGTTAAGAAACTTTCTTAAGTTTTTAGGTTAGGTAAGTATAGGTGAAACAGCTGCCATGTGTTAGGCTTAGAAATCTATAGCGCAGCTATGCGGGGACAAAGATTGAAGCGGAAGAGCTGGATGTTGTCGGTCTCACTGAATTTTTAAAGAGGAGTTACCATGTAGCATATGCTGACACATACATCATGAATACTTTAGGGTGTGGACAGTGAAGAGGGCAGCCAGCTGTACCTTCTGAGCCAGCTGCAGCTAACTGATAAGCTCTTCTAGAAGAGTTGTGCTAGGAGGAAGTAGCAGTAATCATAGCTTGTGGTTACAAGATTACGGGTCATTGCCGGGAAGCTGGAAGGATAAACAGTGGATCAGCATCCTTGGTATTAAGGGAACACAACAAAACAGAAGATGTCTTGAAAGACCTCCAACTTCTAATTCCCATCAAGATGTTCACTGAACAATGAGTGACTCTTTCCAGTCACGCAGTGGCGGTCTCAGGCCAGCATTAAGCTGTCCCCTGTTAACTGTCAAAGCAACAGATGGCAGAAGGAAGCTTTGTTGTACCCTTCTGTCCTCCCAGTAAACCTTTATGGCTGTGACCAGGTGTGGAGGACTCCAAAGTGAATAGTGAGGAAGAAATCTTACTTGTCAACTTGCTATGTGTATTGAACTACTTCATTAGACTAAATTGCCTAAATTATTATTTTTTTAAAACAGGTTTGAGTATCTCTTTTTGTGTGATTGAAATTCCTCAGGGCATAGTTCAAGGCCTGTAAAACTGTATTTGTCAATATGACTACTGCTGATAAACTGTATTCAAAAAATGCTGAGAGAATCAATATACTAGAACCTTTATTGACAGGTAAGTTTTCACGATGATTTTGCATCTTAAACCCTCTAAGTGCTTAATAACCTTTTGGAGTCATGACAGCTTCCTGTGGTGAAGAAGTCCTTTTAACAGCCATACCTTTGGAAATTATTGTTTGCTGAATGCTGTTTATTTTGCTAGTATGTAAAAAGTGCCAAAAATTTAGGTGACTGTTCACTCTTTAACTCACTAATAAGTAAAATTTTAAATCCCTTCAGAATATTGCGCTTCTGTGAAATATTCTGTAGACATCAAAATGCATGCTGAATATTATATACAAAGGGTTAATTGAAGTTACAGTGTAGCTTCCCTCCTTTCAGTAGGTCTATACCAGTTTAGGCTTGCTGAAGGTCTTTACACTTGCCAAAAGAATCTTAGAGGATTCTAGGCAGTGATCTCTCGTGTTATTTAGATCCTCTCTTACAGGCTGCTGTTGCCTTTGTGCCCATCTGTAGTCCTAGCGGGGAGAAAACGGAGCTCTTCCATGGAACTGTGACACTTGTAGCTGCTATCAAAGGTATAGGCAATAATTTGAGTGCCACATTATTTGAGTCCACTGGACTCAGAATGTAGTTGTAAACAAAATGAGCATGAGTAGTATTTTAACGTAGCCACCACTTGAAGAGGTTGGGGCTCTTCTTTCACCATGGACTTAGCTGAAGAGACAAGGTTCTTTTCAAATTCCTAAGGTTCTTTGCTACGTTTCTAGCTGTAAAACTGCTGCCTGTCTTCCCTGCTTCCCGTGCAAGTGTCAAAATACTAAAATTTTGAGTGGTACCAAACCAAGAAATTTGTAGTCAGACAGTACGAAGAGTACGACAGGGCACAAGGAAATGGAATGAAGCTGTGTCAGGAGTTCAGACTGGACATTAGGAAAAGGTTCTTTACTGGGAGGGTGGTCGGTCACTGGGAAGTGGTCACGGCACCAAGCCTGTCAGAGTTCAAGGAGTGTCTGGATGATACTCCTAGTCATATGGTTTAGTTTGAGTTAGTCCTGCGAGGAGCAGGGAGTCAGACTTGATGATTCTTATGCGTCCTTTCCAAGTTGAGATATTCTGTGGTCCTTCTAGTACCCCTTATTCTCTTTGTTTGCAGCAGTAGTCTTCCCTTTTTGTTACAATGAGAATTGAATGCATAATGCCTTTTTTATAGATGGGTATGTATACAGTAGTATTTTAGCGCTGTTTCTGTACTAAGTCATTTGGAAAAAAAAAAACCCCAGAGCCCATATTAAAGCATGGCTGCTTGATGAATGTGCGTGAGTCAATTTCTGTAACTCTTACGCCCGAGACGTTTGTACCAGTGTGGTGAGCAAGGTGGCCTGTAGCATTCTGGACTGCATGAGGATGGGGACCTAAGGGGTTTTCACTGGAATCATTCAGACAAGTGAGGATTTTTTCATATGTAGGCAGGCTCTTGGCTTATGCTGTTGCATTAAGTGGGGCTTGAGTCGATTCAGTGGAGGTTTCATTGATTAAGAATTCTGGCAATTCTTGTAGGTGCTGAAATAATATATCTTTCAAGGTGGGGGGGGGGAAGCATCTCTTGAGTTTTCAGTGAAGTTATTTTGAACATTCCCTGGTGTTTGCATTAGGGTCACTTTTGCAGAAATGAATGGACAGAGTTTGTCCTAGTGCTGAAGTCTGGTGCGTTACCCCACTAAAGGTTTGAGAAACAGAGGTCCTGACCTGCCCCTGTGGTTTGTCTGGAGTGGCTGAGCTAGGAAAAGAAACGCAGCTCCCAGCTGTTTTTGGCAACTCCAAATCCATTGAAGTTTACTCATCCAGTTTATCAGCTATAAATTTTTGTTGACATGCTCATAATACTCGCTTGCATGGAAAACATTCATTAAAAGAGTAGGCTGGATATACGTTTCGTATTTAGCGTAATCTGTTTGGTATGTCCTGCACTCAGATGGCAAAATGCCAAGGGAAGCACACAGCCTTAGTAAGACTCAGTGAAGCCTCTCAAACTTCTGTCGTGGGAGAAACAGTTTGTTACCTGTGATGCCCATGTTTTGAGGGATTTAATTTTAGGCATTTAGAGATGAGTCATAGCTTGTATTGTGGTCACAGATGACTGTTTAGTTCTAGACCCTTAAGAAAGGCTAAGCAAGCCGTTCCAGATGTCCCCATGTGTGCTACTGGTTTCCTCCAAGTGCCAGGGAATCGGTTTTGATTCTAGATCTGCTTTAGAGTAAGTTTTAATGAGAGTTCACGGGGAGCTTGTACAGCGCTGTACCTAGTCTTAAGACAGTGACTTTGCTGCCCCTGAGGCAAAAGGTAAATGACAATGGTCAGTGTTACATAATCCTGTAACTGGGGTAGGATTATTCAGAGTTGTTTATAAATTAAAGAGAATAAAAGCCATGGGAATTCCACCTTCTAAAGAACTTGTCTTCACAAATCTGGTCATGCTGGCTTTTAAGATCCTTACGCTTTTTGCGTCTGTGCTACAGAGGGGGGTGAAACCTAAACCCCATAGTCTGAGCCCATCTCAAAACAAGATGTTACATAGAGGTATAAATTTTAAAATTACTACCTTTTTTTTTTTGCTTTTCCCCCTCTATATAGCATTTGCCTCAAGTAGCCACTTCTTTTCCACATAATTTTTAATTACTCACAATTGTTAGTGTTGAGTAATTTTCTTTGTGAAGAAAATCCCCTTGCAATGACCTACAGACTTCACAATAATTATGAAAGGAACTTTAGGCCTACTACTTAGATTGTCATTTTGTATTTACTTATGATAACCTAGTACAATGTTCTCTTCTAGTGATGTATTAATAGTGTCTCATCTAAAAGCAATGTTAATTTATTTCCTCATTTTATTTTTAACATCCTTTTTGGTTGGAATTCCAGATAAATAGAGAATAATGCCTGAAACATGTTCTTTCTGTCTGTCCTTTACAAATCCATAGCTGGAGGGCTTCCCTGCACCACATGGCCTTTGCACCAGCCCAGAGAGCGACTAGTTTGCACGGCAGTTCTATGTTCTGCAGAGGCAGCCATGAAACAGAGGACGGGCATTCTGCTGAGGAGCTGTAGGGCTTTCACGCGGATGTGCTGTACTGTCTGAAGGTATTACAGTCAGGCAAACACCAATCCAGTTTTACGCCTGTATTTATCCAACATGTCTGCGTCGATATTGCTGCATCTATGTGAAACTCCCCAAAGTAGATAATTATTCAGTTGTTTTACATCTTTGACGAATGGTCTGTGGGCAGTGGTATCCGCAGTGGTGTGTACGGTTACCAAAAGAGACGGCAAGCCCCGATATGGACTGGTGTGAACACAAGTTCTGTTTTGCTTCAGGGGTGGCAACCTCCAGCAGAAGAATGGTACAGGGTGGACAGGTGGGGGCAGTAATATCTTAAAGTACTGCAGCCAAATCTGTGAGAACGTGTTTGTTTAGAACCTTTGCATGAACTCATTGAACATGAATTTGAAAGAGAAAGCAGCAGCAGCCTGTCAGGATGATAGGGATTGCATAGCAATCAGAAACAAAAGACTTCTGAATCAACGCGGCAGAATTTGGGCAGCTTCAATGGAACTACTCTGAATTTATTCTAATGGAGCTGAAGGCATGGTTTTGCCTTCAGCTTTTTGTCTTAGTTGACAAAGAATATCCGCTTGCAGTATCGTAAAGTAAGAATTGTAGTAACCTCCTAAATTTATGGCATTTCAGAAAAAATTGAACATGGTACACAGTAAAAGAAGGGCACACAAAAGATTTTGCTTTGCGTCTTAAAGTTTTAAAAGATAAAACCACAGCCTTTAAGACTCTAGTATCTTTAAACAGTAAAAATGTCATTTGTTTAAAAATACCCTCAAACAAAAAACAAACCCTAAAACTGGGACATGAAAATGAGACATCATTTAACTTAATTATAAGCCTTGAACAAGGAAACAGCATGTTCTCAGAATACTTAATTACAGCATTGTTTTTTAGCTTGAGTTTTGTGTGTGTGTGTGTGTTGCTCCAGTCAGTCTTCAGCAGACAGAATAAAAGGCAAAGAAAACACGGAAGTACAGTAAACATCTTGAAATGCAGTTTCCTTCTTACTGGGAAGCTACCACATGACTTGCTGAAAAAGATTTAGTAAAAAAAAAAAAAAAAGCCAGCTTGCAGTTGTTCTTTGGTAGCATTAAAACTTAATTCTCTGTAAGTCTGGTTCTTGAGAAATAATATCCTACAAGACCTCTCAAGCAGCACTACAGTGTTCAAATGCTTTTAGTGTTGTATGAGTGAATTTAAGGAAAATAGTGAACTGCTTGATTGTCCTGAAAGCATTACTCACAGATACTCACTGACAGATGAGGGCAGAAACAGAACAAGGCTCTCTGCTATTAATGTATAGTGATTTTTATAGTCTGAACTTCTAAAGGTGAGAAGATGCTAAATTTGACTGAATTCTACACCATGCAAAGCCAGCTGGGGTAACTCTATCTCCTACGATGATAGTCTCTTTTGCCAATCTCACTAAAAGATGGCTGGGAGTTGAGCTGAAATGGGACCTGCATTCCACTTAGTCAATATACTGAATGTGGGTTACTCAGTCTTAAAAATACACACACGGGAACTGTTCCAACAGCTAAATTTCTGCACAGACTTCTGCTGCCAAATGCTATGAGTCCCAGCCATCCCTTTTTGAAGTTGGTAGCAGAGATTTCTTTTCAGAGTGACAAAAAGATGATCAGCAACTGTTTCTCTCCTTGGACCAGTATTTCTCAGAACTGTGTCCCCCCTGTGCTCTCACAGGTGAAAAAAATCACCTGTGGTTATATCGTGTACTTTTTCTTTGCATGGTAGATGAATGGAAGGACTGGCATTTTTATGTTACATTGAAATGAAACGTTGTCAGCTCAAAAGGATTTGGATCAAGAATATAAAGGCATGTTGACCATGTTCAATAATGTTTTAAAGACTTATCTAGGGTGGATTCTTATGTCGTGCTGAATTAGGTGTGTGAAAGCTAGGAGCTAAACCAAAACTATCCATATTCTTGTCTGCAGTTCGCTCTTGCACTCTGTGCTGCATACTAAGAGCAGCAGCATATTTTTGGGTCAGCCACACTTTATCACATCTTAGGTGATTTGGTGTGTGAATTGTGTGTATATATATGTTGTTAAAGTAATTAACTCTTTAGCATCCCAAGGTGCTTTTTCTTTCCTCCTCTAATTTTACAGTCTATAATTATAGACAATAAGAAAACATAAGGACAAATGAAAAAACTGAATAAACTGCAGTTAATCGGGGTTTCTTTGAATGCTATTCGTTGGTTGCATTTCTGTACAGAATCACATGCATACACCTACATGCAGTTAGTAGTTTGCATTCTTTGTATGCACAGTGACCTGATTCTTCTGTAAAAGAAAAAAAAAGATTATATAGTAACAGGAAGATAAGCGACACTACTGGTAGCATTATTTAAAGGAATTTGCAAGATTTTCTGGTTTTTAAGCGTATTTTACCTTCTCACTGAAGTGTATTCTGAGACAGCAAAGTACAGCAAGATTCTGACCTGGTTCATAAATGAAGTAAGAATTACACAAATCCAAATGGAACATTCATTTAATCAACTATGCTTTTTAAGAATAAAAACCAAAAAAAATCCCACCATGACCTCCAAACAAAAAAAAAACAACCAAACCCCACCCTAAAATGCTACAAACCATAAGCTAAAGGCATGGAGTGGCTGCTGAAATGAGCATTTTCAATTCCATGTTACACTGTGTGAGGAAATAAAGTAATTTGTATCTGAAGAAGAGCAAACCAACCACTTTCTACCCTGCTCGCAGCTGAGCAGGCATATGGGGAATCTAGTCTTCAAAGCTCTTGCTCTTCTCTTTTGTGCTGTCTCAGCCTTTGGAAGGTATGTGGGCTAGTCACTCGTGCGATTGCGAGAGCCTCTGAAGTCTGGGCGCTTTTCTATATACAGCTTCAGGTGGAAGGACAGCTAGGCAAAGTGTAACCGTGCCACGGGGTGAAACATCTCCACTTCCCGGAGGTGATCTAGGCCCCCCTGTACCAGGGTTCAGTGGACACAGGGCATGAAGTAGTGTGGCTGGCTACCCTGAAAAGAGTAGCTCAGGCTAGGGGCTTGCCTTTTGCTCCTTCTGCTGAGCTATTTATGAACTTGTTGCTTTAATTCCTGGTTTGGGGCTGTGAATGAAGGGATTAAGCTAGTGAGGGCACACAGGAAAGCTACAGTGTGGTTTGGAAACAGCACTTCAGGTTGTTTCTTTGGAGCTGACCCTTCTGCTCCTTTGCAGATGAACATACTCTAATTCTATAAACAAAATCCACAGCAACAGTGCTAGCACTGCTTTATGAGAAAACTACTTTTTAATGAGATGTTCATGACGTTTGTTCTGGTTTTATATGCCTCTGTAATTTTATGGGTAAAAAGGTGGAAGTCTGAGGCCATATAAAATGTCCTGACTTGAGGGAGCTAGTACTGAAAATACCTGTTGCAGCGTCCTCACAGCTCTGCCTCCTTCCTCCCACTTCACTGCAGTTTTCTAGGGATCTTAAGTAGATTTCCTACATCTGAAAGATTTGTAACTTTATACTGGCTCCCATTATCAACGTTCCACTGTGCCGCCTCTTGGAGAAAAAAAACCCTCAACAACCACTTTTCTCCCCTCCCCTCTTTCTTCTGATGCTAATGCCCTGCTCGGTAAGCCCTTCTGCCCTCACGTCGTGCCCACCTGCTCGAACAGCGGCTCGGCC